CTTTTGGCTTGATCTTAAGGGTTTAGGGTCTGAGGGTTTGGGGGTTTAGGGGTTCAGGGGTTTAGGGTTTAGGGTCTGAGGGTTTGGGGGTTTAGGGGTTCAGGGGTTTAGGGTTTAGGGTCTAGGTGTTTGGGTTCAGGTTGACGATTGAGAGTCTAGGTTTAGGGTCTGGTTCTCCAGTTTAGGGTTTGCGTCTAGGGTCTAGTTTAGGCCTTAAGAGGGTTTTGGGGTTTGGGCTTTGGCAGCCAAGGGCCCCAAGTCTTGAACCCCACAAGCTTGCTGGATTAACGTACCATAGTCTTGCACCAATGTTACTTCAAAGTATACCCCGACAATGCTAGCTTAGCTGTCCTGCAAGGAGGTAGTTGTTGGGCGGCAAAGCATGTCGTGAGCACCCTAGAGTACAAACAGGAGCCTAGTGTTTCACGATTGTACAGTCGCGACTCTTCGTGCCTATGGCGGTTAAGGCATCGGGCTTACTTGGAGGATCATGGGACTTAGTAAGTAAGGTTATAAGTCCCCTAATTGGGGTTATAAGTACAGCTACCTTAGTTATAACCCTACTTACTAAGTCCCATGATCCTAAACCCTAAACCCTAAACCCTCAACCCTAAACCCTTACTTACTAAGTCCCAGGATCCTTTAAGTACTGTGTAGGGAGTCTGGAACCACCGAGGAACTTCCTGCTGGACGGCACCTCCTGCGCAAAGAACGCAGATGCCCCGCTGGAGAATATGACCGGGTATCTGGGTTGCTGAGATACGTAACCTAAGTTATGGTTTAGGGTTTAGGGTTTAGGGTTTAGGGTTTAGGGTTTAGGGTTTAGGGTTTAGGGTTTAGGCCCGTTTCAAGTCCCTATAAGCCTAAAGACCTGAACGCAGGTATAGCAAGATCCACACGAAGCCGCTGCAAGATTCCATCGAGAACTTTGAGCAGCTAAAGCGGAAGCTTCTGCACACGAAGTGGGAATGGATGCTCTATGGCTCTTAGCTACAGGCTCCAGCAGGCCTGCTTGGACAGCTTCTGCGTTTGAGGCCACGGTTGGACGATCCCATGCAGCCGCCGGACGGCCGCGGTTTGGCAGCATCATGGAGTGAAGAGACTGAAGTCATCGAAGACATCGTCACCCTCATTTCTGGATTTCCTGGTCTGCCTTGCATTGCTGGAGCATCCCAGATGGAGCTTGCGAAGACTTGCCGAGCAGCTCCCGGGGTGCGAAGACACGAAGAACCGCAAGAGACGGGCAGGATGCCAGCCGCAAGCGAGCCGAAGAAGACATGTCCGGTTCTTGTGCGTGTGTGTGTGTGTGTGTCAGCGGTTTAGGGTTTGTGCATGCAGTCTCTGAACTCGCTAGGTTTAGCATGCAGTTTGGATGCATTCCTGACTTCCTGTCGCGATTGATCACAGCACCTGCAAGCCCAAGTCCACAATGTTAGATCAGATTGAAAATGGCAGAGGTTTGTACCAAAGTCCTACGACCTGCAAGCATTCCACCGACCCCACACGCACACATCCCCAAATCTTACACCCACCTTCAACCCGAAAGCCAAAACCGTAGTTCCGAGATTTCAAAAAGTCGTGAGCAACACATGTCGCTTCCTTGGCCCGCATTCCGTTACCTTCCCTGCCTCCCCCGGCCACTCGCTTCAAAGTCTACCGACGCAGGCCTGCGGATGCCCTTCGACCTTCATCGCCAGACAGCCTGGCTCTCATCATGGTGTGAGCAGTGCTGGGGCTTCGGGTGAATCGGAGGTCCATTGGCCGGGTCTTGTGAATCGCATGCCTACATCTTCTGGGTTCTTGTTAAGGGATTTAATTTAAGTTATCATAATAGGGATCTATAGTAAATAATATGGTTTCCTTATTATGGTAACTTAAATTAAATCCCTTAACAAGAACCCAGTCTTCTCGTGCTCCTTGAGACGCCCGTCCTTCGCGTTTGAGCAGCCTTTTTCCTCCTCGCCTGTTCGCTCCAACGCGCGCTTCTCGCTCCAAGATGACCTTCTGGAGGCTCTCGGTTAACTTCCTCGTTCTTTCACATGTGCAGTCGGCGATGGGCATGCTCTATGCGCAAGAGATCATTGGACGGTATGACCACAAGGGAGGAGTCCGCGTGACGAAAGAGATCTTCGCACAGGATCTCAACATCATGAAGAACCTGGCAGAGAATGGCTTCCGGGTGAACGAGACTTGCTCCCATGATTTATGTGTGGCACCCGTCCCGCTTGCAGCCAGGCGTGCAGAGACCGACAAGTACCTTGGCTCAATTGGGAGTTTCCGAAAATAAGGGGTACTTTGATTAGGGGTCCTTTATAATAAGTATCCTACTATTGAGGGTACTATATTAAGGTCCCCCATTTTCGGAAACTCCCAATTAAGTCTAGAGATGGTGTAGAGTTTAGCTTGCTGGACGAACACAGCGGTTCTGCGTTTTTCGCCAACCGACGGGTCCTGAGATACCCTAAACCCTAAACCCTAAACCCTAAAGGCTATTTGCACGTTTTCAGACCAGGGTCATGCCGAGTGAGGCTGAAGCAGCAAGTGGAGGAGGAAGTGCGGAGGCTTGAGAAGGAAACGGCCCAGGCCAACGCTGAACGAGCTGAGGCGGAACAGCGCCGAGCAGATGCCGAAAGACTCCGAGCAGAGGCTCAACAACGTCAGCGTGAGGCAGAGTCGCGGAGGCGCGCAGCGGAGGAGGAACAGAGTCGGTTTAGATTCAGCTCCCGTGGTGATCCGGTGCTATGCGCCTACAACTCTGCGGGTGAAGTCCTGGAGAAGTCGTGCGTTAACTACACGGGGCCAGCAGTTGTGACGTGCTACAACGACCAAGGCCTACAGAGAATCATCTGGGTGGGAGTCAGCGATGAGGACGGATCCAACAGGCAAGGTGATGATGCTTGGTGGGTCGCTGAAACAGTGGCCTTGAACGTCGCGACGGGCACGTGGTCGTATGAGGATGTCACCGGCAAGCACATTGCTGATGTCTCCTGCGACACCGCAGAGGGCGGCAGCGCCAGGGTGAAGGAGTCTCCGCCGATGGATTTTCTGAAGACCTTCCAGAAAAGTAGCAAGACCTTCCTGGTTCACACAATGCAGCCCCGAATCATTCCAGGGCCCAAGTACAGCTTCATGGAGGACATGTTGAATCGCGACAAGCTGGCAGACCTCGTGTATGATGAGCAGAATGCTAAGGAGTGGCTCAACGCATTCCTTATGATGCTCGGGTACGCCACAGAGCACAACGTTCACTCGAAAGCTTTGGGCGAGATCGCAAAGTACACCGTGCTCTACGGAGTTTCACAGGCGCAGAAGGCGCAAGCCTCAAGCCAGCGCCAGCACGCTTGGCTTTCCACGGGAGTTTCTGTGTGAAGCTGGGTGTTGATCACAGCAGCACGAGCCGAGTTCGGCTAGGCTTTTTGTTCTTTTTGCAGCCAGACATCAGAGGCGCCTGGCGCAGCATCTGGAGCAACATTCTAGTTAACATTAGGTGCAGCGTGGTCTGAACAGTGGTTGTAATGCAGTGTTTTCCCGCGATGTCTTTGCGCAGATGCTGGCGCTCTTCCACGGACCTTTTCCGTGCAGATCATGTGGTCCGTGGACCTTTGGCTTTTGGCATTCCGTTTGTAACAAGCTAGCAGCCTCAGGCCTGGTAGGAAGCAGCTGCTTATGCCAGAAAACCCTAAACCCTAAACCCAAAGATAGGCCCTAAACCCTAAACCCTAAACCCTAAACCCTAAACCCAGAAAACTTGGGACGACAGCCAGGCCTCGCCTTTCTGTTCTTGCGACGTACCGCCTGCACCTCCAGGTGGGCTTGCCATGCAAGTTTGCGTCAGACGAAGCGCGCCGTGATGTTCTTGGGCGGAAAAGCCCTCTTGCGTTGCGGTGGGAAGCTCCAGTTGGGTGCGGTTTAGGGTTGGGTGCGGTTTAGGTTTTAGGGTTTATAGGGTCTAGGGTCCAGGGTTCAGGGTTTAGGGTTTAGAGGCATTTTGCTTGTGACGTTTCTGTTGCAATGCATGTTTGATATAATCTGTGCACTTTCGTGCCTAATAATTAATAAAGGGGGTTCGTGCTGAGCGGTGCTGCAGAACGGCAGGAACACGCATGCAAAGCTTAGCGCACAAGCCGAGGGGCTGGTATGGACAGCCCAAACCCCAAACGGAAACCCTAGTCCACCCTAAAACTAAACCTTGAACCACAAACCCTAGACTCTAAACCCTGAGCCCTAAACCCTAAACCCTAGACCCTAAGCCCTAAACCTTAAACCCTAAACCCTAAACGGGACCCTAGACTTCTAAACCCTGGGCCACAAACCTTAAAACTCTAAACCCGATGTTTGGATTTGCTTGTCTTCTGACCTCCGCGGCCAGGTGCAGGCTTCCAGGGCTTTCTAGACGAGCTCCGCCCAGGCCAAGCTACGGTCTGGTTTTGGGGTTAGCAGGGCCTACTATAGGGGCCTTAATGATTACCTATATTATTTTGGGGGCTCCTTGTTATAAGTATAGTATAATTGGCCCCCAAAACCCTATTCGAATTATTTAAGCCCCTACATTATCGTTTTGTGGTTTTGTTTGGGCAGGCATGGTGCGTTTGGGCCTTGCGCACTTGGGTTTGGTTGTCTAAACCCTAAACCCTAAACCCTAAACCGCGACTTTGTAGCACCATCAGGCTCGGCTTGGCTGGCTGGTTTAGGGTTTAGGGTTTAGGGTTTAGGTTGAAGCATGATCATCCCTAAACCCTAAACCCCAAACCCACATGGTAAGGAGCCCTAGCTAGTTCAAGAGAGATTCCTTCAGGGTGAACTCGTATCTCTGGGTGGCACAGAGCGGCCGACAGGTCGTGTTCGACACTGTTTCAGGTGTTAGTGGCCCTATGCCCGATGCCCTAGACCCCTTCAAAGCCTAAGCCCTAAACTTCTGAAACTTCCCTAACCCCCGAAGGACGGCTTCAGGTTTAAGTTTAAGGGTCAGATCTCCTCGTTCTGGAGTTTCTCTTTCATGTTGGGCTCCTGTCAACTTGGATCTCCGGCTCGGGCTGAGTCCTGTAGAGGCAGTGTGTGAGAGCTTGGGAATCAGAAGGCTTCAGAATAGCCTTTAGGGTTTAGGGCTTAGGGTTTAGGGTTTAGGGTTTTGAAAGCTTTGTAGCAGTGTCGTATGGGCTTTGTGATTCGTTGAAGTAGAGTGGAACCCGACTGCGTACTCGAAGAGCCGTTTCTCCACGGACGCAACAAGAAACCAATACCAATCAAAACAAGGGTTCGACCCTCAACTCCATAGGACCTCTTTTTTGTTGGCTTGACGGCATCTTCCTGAAGCCAGAAATCCCCATAAGTGGATAAGCCCTAACCCCTACACTCCAAACCCCAAACCCCA